CAAGTAAATAGTGCAGTAACTATGGGAAGTCTCCAATTTTGTAAACCTGCCTTTTGCCCCCCTTTTAATTCTTTCCTTGTGCCACCAAAAATTCTAATAGCAAAGAGGGCCCTGAACACACACACAAAATCAAAGCTGGCTTAAAAAATAAAGCACTAAGGGAAAAAAGGCTAAGTTGAGTTAGTGAAACACGGCAAATGGAAGGCAGCAGTACTTCATCTTGTCTAAGACATTTCCATCTGCTATTCGCACTTAGGGTTTTCCTTTACCATAAACACCCACTTAATTCCCAAATCATAAATGTATCACAGCAGTGTATCTCAAGCTGAGGTCTGTGGACACTTACGATAGACACTTTTAAGAAACTGCACTCCCCTCTGGCTAACGTCTTAATTACTGGATTGTCCGCATCATCAACATAATCGGTGCCATCCTCGTTTGTGTCATGGATCACCAGTGCCAGCAACAACTGCTGCCAGAACAAAGGCAATATGACTGGGTAATAAACAAATAAAGCTTCTGATGGAAGGAAGGCCATCATCAGGGCAAGAAGAGTCTCAACTGCAGGTTGCAACTGGGAAAAGTAGTAAGAAAATGAATCATCAACAACACACCAGATATTATCAGCAATCTCTGAGAAGAAAATTAGCTTCAGCACAATAACATCGTGAATTAGATTAACTAAATGTTGCTGACAAGTTTTGTATTGCTTTCACAATATTGTTTTTATTTACTTTGTAAACTGATTTGCTTTCAAGATTGCACGAGTGTTATAAGTCTAGAATTATAGTTTCATGCTTGTGTATATTTAATTGTCATAATAAATAATTAAATCTATACCAGAGTCCATTATTTTCTTTTTCCTTTGATCAATATAAACATACGAGTTTATAAACTGTCTCCAAAAAGTAGACCAAACAGAAGGCCAGTTCCAGCTTAAGGGAACTAGAAGACTAAAGTAAGGAAGAAAGGACAGCCAAGATGCCACAGGGTAGGGTGGAGAAAGAATGCTGATAATGCTCTCCCCACCCAACCAATTCAACTCAAGGAGTGTCGCTCTTGCTATTTATTTTTTCTTCTCTTTCTATTGACAAATAAAAGTTGTATACATTTATGGTATACAATATATATAATGTTTTGATATACATAACATGATGATATGTATATTTGATACACTGTGGAATGGCTAACTCAAGCTAATATAATCATTATACTTATCACTTTTGTGTGTGTGGTTAGAACACTTAGGATCTTGTGGCACTGGGTGTGGTAGCTCAGGCCTGTTATCTCAGCAGTTTGGGAGGTGGAACAGGCAGATCACTTGAACCTAGGGGTTTGATGAGGCCAGGCTGGACAACATGGTAATAACCCCGACTCTACAAAAAAATATCAAAAAATTAGCCTGGGCTGGTGGCGCATTCCTACAGTCCAGTTACTGGGGAGCCTGAAGTGGGAGAATCACCTGAGCCTGGGAGGTAGAGGCTGTAGTAAGCTGTGTTTGCACCACTGCACTCCAGTCTGGGTGACAGAGTGACACTGTCTCAAAAAAATAAACAAATAAAAATCTTCTTGCTTATCAAGTTTCCATTCTATCTATTCTCTTTTTGTCTCTTTTTTGGGATGTGTGTATTCTTACAACCTCATTTTACTTAAAGATGACTCTGAATTCAAAAGTAAATAAAGACTAAAACAAGTAAAGGGTAAATTATATGAGAAATCAATTTTGAAATGTTTCTTTGAATATAATTTATAAAAGGAAAGAAATTAATAAGCAAAAGTAATTTTTCATAGCTCAAATTTTAAGACTGACACCTGTTAAAAAGGACACAGTTCTAAGAATTATATTTGATAAAAAGGGTAGAAATGTCCAGTCATACAGCATTAAGTAAAATTCTATTCACCAGTAAGGATGTTTTCAACTATCACTCACAAAATGTCTACATGGCATATAACAAAATAAATGAATAATCCAAATGGTAAGATTTTTTTTTTTTTTTTTTTTTTGAGACGGAGTTTCGCTCTTGTTACCCAGGCTGGAGTGCAATGGCGTGATCTCACTCACCGCAACCTCCGCCTCCTGGGTTCAGGCAATTCTCCTGCCTCAACCTCCTGAATAGCTGGGATTACAGGCACGCGCCACCATGCCCAGCTAATGTTTTGTATTTTTAGTAGAGACGGGGTTTCACCTTGTTGACCAGGACGGTCTCGATCTCTTGACCTCGTGATCCACCCGCCTCAGCCTCCCAAAGTGCTGGGATTACAGGCTTGAGCCACTGCGCCTGGCTCCAAATGGTAAGATTTTTATAGATTTTCCTCATTTCACCGGAAAGTTAGAACTAAGACAGGTTAACTCACTTGCCAACTAATCACACGGTACTTGATAACACCACAATTCAAATGTAAGTCTAGGTCAATACACTTAATTAATTATTATCCTTTTTCTCCAAGTGGACATGAATCTGAAACATAATAATGCATATTTAAACACATGTTAAGTTATCTTGTATGTATTATTTAACATTGAAATCATCTAACTGAATTGAAATCTTCTAATTCAACTTGAAGGAGCTTTAGTGGAACAGTCAGGCATGATGTATTAACCAAGAGTGCAAGCCAAAATTCTCACGAGAAAAGTTAACAGGGATAAAAATAATATAATATGCTTAGAAATACATTGATGATTGTCTGCTAAACGAGGTTACATTAAGAATGCATTAACTATTACTAAAAATAACAGAGCAGTGCTAAAAAAAAAAAAAATGAAATGGATAATGGACACATCTATTGAAATAGTCTGTATGAAGTTAGGGAAGGTGAAGTCCTCCCCAGGCCGGAAAGAAAAACAGAAAGGACAGACTGAGGGAAGAAGGGCTCCCTTAGTGGAGGGGGCAGACTCATGGTACAGGGAGGCTCCCACAGTGGTATGGACCCCATGGTACAGGCAATGCCAGCTGTGCCAGGGGACATGTCTGGGCTAGTGGGCAGGGCAGGGGCAGCCAGTCATAGAACCAAGCAGGCCTTTTGACACACTCCTCCTATCCAAGAAGCTGCAGCCTGGCCTCAGAGCATCCACCCCAAGGGACAAAAGGTAGCTTGGTAGGGAAAAAAAAACAGTGCTATAGTGTGACTTCAAGGGTTTCTTTGCTCCAAAATCTCTCCCATTTGGCAAATGCTGTTGTGAACTCATTACCAAGGAAACAAATCTTCCTTTCCACAATGAAAGAAGTAATAATCAAACATTAGTTAAAGTAATACACTCTCACCACAAACTTAAGAATCCTAGATCCCAGTTACGGCACCAAAAAATTTAAAAAAAGAATCCTAGAAAGACAGCAGATTGTATATTTTAAGTGCATAAGCCAAATTAATGATCCAGGGCCTATCTCTTCAAAGAGACTACACTCCCAAGATTTCACTTATGATTGGAAGAACAAACCTATAATGATGGGAATCACCTGATTTTTACAAGGCTAGATTCAACCATCATAATAATGTATGTAATGTCACTTATAAAATAATGTACATGTCAGAGCATTTATCACAGGTATGTAAGTATTTTCAACTTCTGAAACACTAAAGTTTATCTCAAGCAGAGTGGGGAGAAAAATGTAGAACTCTGGCACCTCCAGCAAGAATCAGCTTGGCATTTGACACTCTTGAGATGCAGCTCTTTCTGAAGAGGCATCATGCTTTCTTTTCTTAGATGCAGAGGCTAGTCCCACGAGACTTTAGTGTTTATGCAGGGTGGCAAGAATGGCAGATAAACTATATTTTTCACAAATCACAGTAAATACCATTATCAGTAGCAGCCTCAAATGCAGGAATTAAGTGAATATGGGCATAAAATATATTATCTTTACTTTGGATAAGTAACACAAGTGGTTAAGTAAATGTTTTCGCATTTGGGATGGTTAAAAGAAAAATTATTTTGGAGCACACTAATTTCAAAGCATCTTACTAAGCGCCACCCTTACTGCTAATACATGTTTCAAAATACAGATCCCATGCTGTTTTAGGCATACACAACCCTATCACGTTGTTATACAAAGATGATGCCCCCTATATGTCCTAGGGGTTAATAGATCTCTCTACCTTTCGAAAATATCTCATTCACCCAGTTTTAAGTGATCAGAGATTCCAGGGCTTCATTTCAGTAGCTAAAACATGCAGAAGCCTTTATTAAGACGCAAATACTTTTCACAGCCTCCTTTGAAGATGGGGGAAAAAAAAAGCAATAAATAAAAATTTTAAAAGATGCAAATACCTCCTGGGAAAGGTGGCAAGCCACATCATGCAGTTATGCTCAATTCTCTGTAAAAGAAACCCTTGTGTTTCAGATACTCTTAGGTCAGTCATTGAAAGCCAAGATCCAGGGGATAAAAAGAGAAAGGACGGAAAATTCGGTAAGGAGGTGTATGGGAAAGGAGGTACAAGAAACCCTGTATTATAGAATATAACAGTCATTATACTGTATAGATCACCAGAAGTTCTGATTGCCTTTTAGACCCAATGACATGCCCAACACCACACACAATGCAAACCAAAACTAACACGCACAGAAAATTTGCAGTTAAAATGCGCTGGTGTCATGCTGTCTTCGATCATCTTACAAAATGGCAAAACTGCAAATGAATGCTTTTTAAAAAGCCAACTCAATGTGTCCAATGAAGAGCCACTGATGTATGGAAGAAATTAATAATTTTCTTTGAATATCACTAAACTAGCTTAATTTTATCTTTAAGACAAACTCTTGATTCCCCCCTTAAGGGCTTTTTTAGTTCAAACTATTAAGAGACACAATAAATTTAAAAAAAAAAAAAAAAGTTAAAGTCTCCAACATCTTCGTAGGCGCATTACACAGAAAGATGACTTTGAACGACTTTCCTCAGGATATATTCCAATACCCAGTAGAGAACTTTCCCTTCTCTGTAGACAAGGAAGTAAATAAGTAAAGAACACCTAAGAACAAACTTTGTTGGCCACCAGCAGGGGAGCTCTTCAGCTTTTGTCGCCAAATCCATTCAAACAAAAGAAGCTCCGACTCCTCCAACCCACCCTTCGGACCCGCACCCCGCAGGGACTCTCTGGATCCGGGTGCTCGCTCCCCCGCCAGCCCGACTTACTCCTCAGCGCCCCAATGAGCAGAGAGCCGTCCTTAATGAGCTCCTTGATGAACTTGTTGGTTCGCTCCAGCTCAATCTCGTGACACTGCAAGCGCTCCCTGAAATCCGGGCTGTCCAAGTAGGAATCACTGAACTCCAGAGTGGGCAGCCCCATGGCACAGGCGCTGCTGGCGGCGGCCGCGGGCACGTCCCGGCCGGCGGTCAGGGCGGGGGCGGCCGGCAGCGGCGGCGGGTGCTGGGGACGCGCGATCGCAGGGAAGGCGCCGGGACGCGAGGGGACTGGCTGCGCGAAGGAAACGGGGCCCGCGCGCCGCGCCGCGGGCGCCGGGCTCAGTCTTCCTCCCCCGAGGCGAGGCGAGCGCAGGCGCGGGCGGCGGACCGAGGCGCGGGTCCGCTCAGCTTGTGGTCGCCGGGACGCATCGTTATTCCGAGCGCTGGGGCGGCGCGGCTCCGGGCCGCGGCCGGAGCGGGGAAGCTTCTCTCACGGCGCGCAGACACTTCCGGCAGCTCCACTCTCCAGCTCTCCTGACAGTCGGCGGCGGCGTTGTGAGCCAGAAGCAGCGCTCAGCCGCAACTCCAGCCCGGCTGGGGAAAGCCCTCCCCCTCGGCGGACGCAGGCTCAGAGAGCTTGCAAATCGCACTCGGGCTCCCAGACCCTCCTCCCCGCCGCGCGCTCCCACCCCGCGCCACCCCGCCCCTTCGCCCCTTCACCCTCCTGCCCCAGCCGCCGGCCCGCACTTGGCTCCAGGGCTCCCCGCGCAGCAGTCGCGCGCTTGCGCTCCTGCCTTGGCTGGGGTGTTGACCCCGTCCCCTCTTGGGCCCCTGGTTTTGGCTAGCCCTGGTTGACACCTCGGCGTCCTCCGCCCCACGAAAGGATCTGACTCCCTATATACCTCCCCTAACAGTCGTCCCCTCCACCCACTCCCTAGAATTCTCTGGAAGAAAAACCAACGTTAAGTTTCCCTAAAGTTTTGAAGCGTACATGGAAGATACTGCTGTCTAGCGCTCGTTTAGATTTTGCTTCACACTTCCCCACCGAATGCATTTGAATTCCACGTTGAAAAGTTGTCCAGTCGCTCACCCACCCCTCAGTTTCACTGATCCGGCCTGGAGGTTCCCCCCGTCCCCGCTCCGTTGCTGGGAAGGTGGGACAATTTTTCAAGTCATCCCCACTCTACTTAAGTGCTCTAACTTCTAGAAGAATACCTGTTTGCATCACAATAGTAGTCTCTCGTATTGGCACCTGGTTGGAATTGTCCTAGGAGCAGGGAGATTTTCAAATTGTTGAAGTGGACTGGAGTTTCAAATTAACAGTTAATTCCTACCCACAGGCATTACCCTTCCTCCGGTGGTGGTTCACCTAATAAATTTCTGTTCCCTTAAAACCTTGACAGCGCTTGCCGGGCGCGGTGGCTCACGCCTGTAATCCCAGCACTTTGGGAGGCCAAGGCGGGTGTATCACGATGTCAAAAGATCGAGACCATCCTGGTCAACATGGTGAAACCCCGTCTCTACTAAAAATACAAAAATTAGCTGGGCATGGTGGCACATGCCTGTAGTTCCAGCTACTCAGGAGGCTGAGGCAGGAGAATTGCCTGAACCCAGGAGGCAGAGGTTGCGGTGAGCGAGATCGCGCCATTGCACTCCAGCCTGGGTAACAAGAGCGAAACTCTGTCTCAAAAAAAAAAAAAAAAAAAAAAAAAAAAAAAAAAAAAAAAACCTTGACTGCAAAAGAAACGACTGCTTTACATCTCGTCCTGACATCATCCATAGGATTTCTGAGAACTCAGATATTGTTCTTAAGGATCTGCTTTTAATTTCTACGTTTTCATTGCTTTGTTCATATGAACCATCTGTTTAAAAACTATTCTATAGATCATGGGGAAAATTCCATTAAAGTGCTTTACATTTTTCCCAATTAAGTTTCAGAGACAGTCAAGATTTTTGGTTTCAATTTTCTTAAATGTACGTAAGCATGAAAAATAACATGTAAACTTACAACAGATAAGATCGTGTAAACAGTATGGACCAGGCTCAGTGGCTTATGCCTGTAATACCAGCATTTTGGGAGGTTGAGGCAGGAGAATCATTTGGGTCAGGAGTTGGAGACCAGCCTGACTACTAAAAATACAAAAATTAGCTGGGCATGGTGGCACGCGCCTGTAGTCCCAGCTACTTGGGAGGCTGAGGCAGGGGAATCACTTGAATCCGGGAGGTGGAGGTTGCCATGAGCGGAGATTGCTCCATCGCCCCCCAGCCTGGGTGACAGAGGGCTCTGTCTCAAAATACCTTCCATCCATATTTACATCTTTAGTCCTCAACATATTGGCAAAATGGCCAATCACCATTAGAGTCATTTTAACTCCAAGTGTTGAATTTGTGTTTGTTAACTACTCTTTTATTTTTTTTCTTTTTCCAGGGTTGGGGAAGGGAGAGGCAGTAATTCTGTTTGTCAGTTAATGGAATGACATGACATAAACAGCAGTTTTTCACCTGAGGTGATTTTGTATTTACTCATTACTCTGCCTGAAAGACAAAAAACCACTCAGGTCAGTTTCCTTTCAACTTTTGCCATGTTGCTGTTCCCAACAACCGAATCCAATGCCAACTGCTGAGATATGAAACGTGATATAACATAACATTCTCTTCTTGTTTTTCATTAAATCGTAGTGCTATGATTAATTCCTTAAAAATGCATCAACAGTGTTTCATAAGTTGCATTTAATATATTCGATGCCAAATTTCAGTTTTCTTAAAAGTCTTACATGCCAGGGCAGATGTATTGTAGATGCTAAGGTGGGGTTATCATTTACCCATTCATGCATGTAATTATATGTTTTATGTCTACTGTCTACATGACTAAGGCCTGGGTGAGGAAGTGATTTCTATAAAAAGATAGAAAAAGCCTTATACACGACCTCAAGCAGTTCTCAGAAAAAGAAAATGCAGAGAACAAGTACCCATATAGCATAAGGCAGAATATGCTATGTTCCACAGTCTCACACAGATGCTGTACTAAGGCATTGATGCCACCATTTATCAGTATGTTTGCACTCAGGCCCATCGTTGCCTTTACATGGAATTAGGATTTTTTTCTCCTACCCTTCACTCAGGAGTCTCCAAAGCTTATCATGTTATAATGGACTTATTTATTGTAGGTGTTCTCAGGGTTACTCATACCTTATTCCTGTGATTCATATTTTAATTATACCTGCTAGTCAGGCTTTCTCTTATGCCACATTAACACAGCTACTTGAGAAAAATCAGAAATGCTTTTGGTTTGAGGTGGATTTACTGTCAGTTTTGAACTGTTGTTTCCATCCATTATTCTCTCCATCCTAATTAACTGAACCGGATTCTTTCCAAGAGAATAGATTTTCTATATAAAAGATCAGCAATACCTGCAAGCTTGTTTTTATAAACAAATTTAATGGATTGAAATGTAGCTTTTCCAGAAATTTCCACTTCATAACACATGACACTGTAAGCTGCATGGGAAGCTTCACTGATATTATTGGCTGACAAGCTCTTTGCCACAGAGAAATGTCTCTGTTTTCCTGATTCTGAAATGGGATGTGTGGGGCTTTATTTGCTTGTTTTTGAGAACAAATAGATAGAAGAGGATATTAAACTAATATATGGTATTTGTAAATCTGCCTAAAACTTTTCTTGACCTAGATCATGCTGACACTTAAGCCTGGCATTTTCTTTGTATGTACTCAGTAAGTGTTACTGTCGAGCTACTTTTATTTTTCAATTAATTATGCAGATATTAATTGAAAGACTCAGACTCAGATATTCTGAGGTTAAGTTCAAGCCTGTACGAGATGACTAAACAGAAACCAAGGGTTTCTTCTTGGTTGCGCCTCCTCCCATCTCCTAGGAACCATTCTACTTTCTGTCTCTATGAATTTGAAAACGTAGGCACCTCACATAAGTGAACTTATACAATATTTGCACTTTGTGTTTGTCTTATTTCACATAGATGATTCAATCATCAAAAAGAGAAGCAAAAAAGAAGTAAGAATCAGATATACATTTAAAACACATAATGAGGGGCCAGGGCCCGGTGGCTCAGCCTGTAATTTCAGCATTTTGGGAGGCCCAGGTGCATGAGTCATCTAAGGTCAGGAGTTCAAGACCAGCCTGGCCAACATGGTAAAACCCCATCTCTACTAAAAATAGAAAAATTAGCTGGGTGTGGTGGTGTGCACCTGTAATCCCAGCAGCTACTAGGGAGGCTGAGGCATGAGAATCCCTTGAAGCTGGAAGGCAGACATTACAATGAGCCGAGATTGTGCCACTGCACTCCAGCCTGGGCAATAGAATGAGACTCTGTCTCTAAATAAACAAACAAACAAACAAACAAACACCAAACAAAGAAACAAAAAGAAAACAAGCATTTAAACCTGCTTAAATTTTTGACTCAACAATTTCCAAAATATTCGTCTGCCAGCCAAAAATGGAAGTTTGGATTAAGCTCTGACATAGCAAGATCTTTTTATTCTAGCTTACTAAAAGTATGATTATTGTCACACACAATGCTCCTAACATCATATTTCTATAAAATTAGTTGGTGCATGAAATTGTATTTCCGATGGGCAACTGTACACATCATTAGTGACAGCAGCCTATGTGACTTAGTAATATTGTCTTTTCCAGTTACCAAATGCTCTCACAAATTGTAGAACCCCTCTCAAATGCACACAGCTTTCCCTGCTTCCCCTCCATAGTTGCCATGAAGCACAGACAAGTGCAAAATGTAGTACGAGTTGAAAAAGAAACTTCACTTTGCCCGGGGGTAGGAAATGGGAGTCTCTCACAGGAAGAGTACAGAACATAGCCACATTGTATGACTCAATGCATTCCAAGAGCTCATTATCCAATAGATGGACTAAAGAGCAATGGTTGGAAGACCAAAAAGTCAAATGATTGAGAGATGAGAAAAGAATATTTAGACGGGGTAAGTACCGATGAGATTGGGCAACAGATGGGCAGTAAGCAGATTAAATAAAGGAAGGAAATATAGTGTGATTTTTGTGGGTGAGGTAAGAATGCAACATAACTCTGAAATTTAAACCTATATAACTCTGAAGTGTTAATTTTCTTTAGAAGAAATATACATAGGTTTAGATTTAGTCTCCTATGCTGAGTTTGAGGTAAAGTTAGAATAATTAAGAGGCACTTTCTCAGGGAGGAAAGTATAGCACAAACACTCAGGGCTGTTGGGTTAGCTTGACAGGGGACACAGAAGCAGAAGTCAAGGTCAACTAGGGAGCAAGCATAACTGCAGAGAGTGGAATTCTATGTGACAATATGACTTTTTTTTTTTAAGAGACGGTGTCTGGCTATGTTGCCCAGGCTAGTCTTGAACTCCTAAGCCCAAGCAATGCTCCTGCCTCAGCGTCCCAAAATGCTGGGATTACAGATGTGAGCCACCACGCAATATGATTTATAAAGTCCCTGCCAAATCTAGATTTTATTATGATGGCAGATTTCAGATGAACAGGATGAAGGAAAAGAACAGGAATCTGGGCAAGAAACACTCAACAACTAACTACATTTATGAGGGGCAGAGAGAAAGAAAAAGAGGAGGGGGGGAGAGAGAAGTATTGACTTAATTTAGAAGACGTTTGTTAGCACGGATTTTGATTTCGTTTCAGTATTGCCCTCTTGTGGCAAACCATGATGTTCACTAACTCTGAGAGAAGAGTTCATGAAGAGCACAGGAAAAGGAGACAAAACGAAAGGGAGCACCCTCCACGGATACCAGGCATGATAGTTTTTGCATGTGTTGCCTCATCTAAGCTTATCCAGAAGCATGTGAAATAGATATTGAGCCTGATTAACCCCAGTTTAATTAATTAATTAATTACTTAATTTAGAGATGGAGTTTTGCTTTTGTTGGCTAGGCTGGAGGGCAGCGGTACCATCGCGGCTCACTACAACCTCCGCCTCCCAGGTTCAAGCTATTCTCCTTCGTCAGCCTCCCGAGTAGCTGGGATTACAGATGCGTGCCACCATGCCCAGCTAATTTTTGTATTTTTAGTAGAGACGGGGTTTCCCCATGTTGGCCAGGCTTGTCTCAAACTCCTGACCTCAGGTGATCCATCCGCCTCAGCCTCCCAAGGCATGAGCCACAGCACCTGGCCTGATTAGCCCCATTTTTAACAGGTGAGAAAAGTATAACTGAAAGTAGTTAACTTGCCTAAATTTATGTAGAAGGTACTGGAGTTGGGATTTCAATCCAGGTCTACCTTGGTAAAAAAGTCATGCTACACACACACACACACACACACATTCAACAAATATTTGTAAGTATCTATTATATGTCTGTGCTGCTGTAGATGCTGGAAAGAAGAGTAAGCAAAGATTTTCTTCAATCCTGGCCTAATCAAATTTTCAATCTAATACATTATAGTAGCGATATTAATCAAATGGTCACCCAAAAGGCATTTATTAGCTGTGTGACTAAGGACAACTTAACTATTAGGCTTTACACCTTTCCCAAGTATAAAATGAAGGATGATAGTGATAATGATAATGACTATCATTTATTAAATCCTTACTGTGTGCCAGATATTGTCCTACTGTCCTATGAAATAACATCCATTGTTTCGTTGGGGTTATTTTTAGCTCTAGACGTGAGACATTTCCATGCCTCTATGACTCAAAGTTAGAACAAGAAATCTCTTCCAACCAATAATGACAATCAATTACAACCAGAGTGTTTTTGACACTCCATCCATGTGTGCTTAGAGACTTGCAGCTGCATTAGAAGAGGAAGTGCTGTTCCTCTCTTACCTCTCACGGAAACCCTGATGGATGAGCGTGACCTCTGCTGGATTTCAAAGCAGCCACTGAGCACACAGAAAGGAAGCAAATGTTTACTGAGCAACCACACTGTCCATGGTCCCATGAGGCCTACAAATCCTCACAACAACCGTGGAGGTAGGAATTTTGTAATGAAGATGAGGATGTTGAAGCCCCAAAATGCAAAACCAAAAACCAAGAACCACAACAAACCAACAAAAACACCCAGATACCTTGCCCCAGGAGAAACAGTGACATCGCTGACTCTAAGACCACACCACAATGAATCTAATGGGATGCATCATACACATTATATATATATAATAATATATATATATATATATATATATATATACTTTTTTTTTTTTGAGATGGAGTCTTGCACTGTTGCCTGGGCTGGAGTGCAATGGCTCAATCTCAGCTCACTGCAACCTCTGCCTCCTGGGTTAAAGCAATTCTCCTGCCTCAGCCTCCTGAGTAGTTGAGATTACAGGTACCCACTACCATGCCTGGCTAATTTTTTGTGTGTGTTTTTAGTAGTTACAGGGTTTCACTATGTTGGCCAGGCCAGTGTCAAACTCCTGACCTCGTGACCCACCCTCCTCGGCCTCCCGGTGTGCTGGGATTACAGGCATGAGCTACTGCACCTGGCCTATTTTTATATAGCTCTTTTCCCACATTTACATTTTTTGCATTTAGACTCTAAGCTTTTAGAGCAAATCTTATTTGTCTTTGTATCTCTTGCACTTTGCACGCTACCAGCCCATAGATGATACCTAACAAATGTTGTTTTGAATACTTGAGTGCCTTTTAATCTTCTAAAAATCATTCTTCAATTTCTGTGGCAGAGGTTTCTGTGCAGATTTGCAGAGAAAGGCTTTTCCCATTTGGCACGGAGGTCTCTACGTGTTGCTGGAGCTCTACTGAGCATGAAAGGAGTGGAGCTCATTATCCGTCCTTCCAGGCGATGAGTACATCTGCGCTAGAACTGCTGCCATCCAGCATACTGTAACAGGCCCTGGCAAAGGCAGTGAAAGACGTGATGAGGAAAATAACTAGCCCAGAAGGAGCTTAAGGAAACTAACTCAAATAAATGGCTCCACATCCGGCAAAGAGAAGTCATAACTCAATCACAGTGAAGCACACTAATGAATGTGATAAGAAGGATCATTGAAAAAGAACAGACCCACAGTCTCTACTGTTTGAACATTTCAGATGGGAAAAAAAAAAAAAAGAACAAAGCTGAAAGAATCTGTAATCTGTACTCACCGTGGCAACTTCTTTTATAAAGAATAAAGATACATAGTCTTATCCTTTAAAAGGTATATTATCTTACATTCTGTCTGTGAATTTTATCTGCTAATGGAATTAGAAAATTTTACAAAATTTGTTAGGTTTTACAAAACCAGGTATAATAACAAATTTTTTTTCAGAAGAGTAAAGTTATTATTTTTACACTTGTTAGTAAATTGTTTTTCCCAGATGTCAGTTTGTTGAAGTTTTATTGTGAGACAGAAGTGGATTACTGAGATTATGCTTTAGCTTACTAGATAAATAAAAGTAGTAGTCCCAGTTCCATTTAATGTTGCAGTATTTTTCACCCTATGATTTTTTTGCGATCTTTCAAAGAATGCTTCAAAAATCTGTGAAGCTCTCTGAACTCTGTTACTTTATGTGGTCAAGTAGAACAACATTTTACCATATGGTGAAAATCTCATTGGTACGGAAAATGAATATTTAATGAATCATTATAAATCTTCTAAACCTTCTTTCCCCCCAATTTTTCATTATGAAAATTTTCCAACATACAGAAAAGTTGGAAAAATAATGGAATAGATAGCTACATGCTTTCTACTTGGATTCAACAAATGTCAACATTTTGTCATATTTGTTTTATCACTTCTCATTATATATATATACATATATATATAGAAAACTTAAAAAAATTTGTTTTTAGACAGAGTCTTACTGTATTGCCCAGGCTGGAGTGGTGCAGTGGCACGATTTCAACTGACTGCAAAGCTCCACCTCCCGGGTTCAAGTGATTCTCCAGCTTCACTCTCCCAAGTGGCAGGGACTACAGACACCGACCCAAATAATTGTTTGTGTTTTTAGTAGAGTTGGGGTTTTGCCACATTGCCCAGGC